ATTTACTGGTTGTTTTGGTCAAATGTTATTTTTATGTGATTTTTTCGTCCCTTGTTCCATATTCTAACAGATTTTAACTCATACTTATTCCAGTTTATTGACAATGGCGTGCCTACAGTGCACCTCTGTAATAGATAAAAATGAACAATATTATGCTGCCGATGATATGGGTCCTGAAATAATTTCCGTCATCGAGCGGCATCTTGGCCATCTGGTAAAAAAATATATTTATCTATATACTGTAACATATCTATAAACACTTAATAACCCCTTTTTTGTTTTAGGTTGATGGAAATGGAGTGATGTGCTCACAATGCTTTGGTATCTAATGATAGTGCTCTTGCACGCGGAGATCACAAATTCCAGCATTGCCATGATAGTAATGTTTGTGTTAGCTGTAGGACATCTTTGTTTAGGTGTGCTCACTCTATTCCCGAGGGTGCCGAAAGGCAATATATTGCTGAAACAATTACTCCAAGAGAGGTAAGCACCCCTTTTGTTTTCTTTTTTATTCATACAAAGGTATGCAAATGTAGATGTTTCTTAATTATAGTCAAAGACAACATTGTTTCAAGAAGAAATAGAACGGTCACAATTTAATTTTTGGAAATGTGTGTAGACATGTGATTTATATATAACATCACCTCGGATGAGTCTATAAAAGTGATATTGAAATATAACTAAATCTTGATTAATTTAAATTATTTAGAAATATTGTGATATAAATAAATAAATCTTAATTTCATAGAATATAATAGAATGATTTTATATTCAATATTAATTAGTACATAATACTTATTGAAAGTCATTTTTTATTAACATTTTTTGTTTTAGATACCTGAAGGTGCTTTAATATGTTTTGCTTGTTGGGTACATACTTGGCGTACAATACAACAACAAGGAATCATAGCAGCTTCTACTGTTGTTATGAATATGAATGTATGTGTATGGTGCCAATGGTCTCTTGCCCAGACACACAGCCACTCCATACCTGAAGGACCTGAACGGACCATAATAACAGAAACAATATATCCAAGAGAGGTAACATTAACAACTTACTTAATTACCTAGTGTTGGAATTAAATAATTGTGTGAATAGCCAATACATATTGTATTCTTTTCTTTTATTCAGATTCCACCAGGAGGACTGGTTTTCTATGCTTGTTGGGTAGCAATATGTAAAAATGTGAAGCATGCTACAAAGATTGAGGATAATCGGCAAACTCCAACCCCATCTAGCCTTCACCAAGACTAATGTATGCATGGTGTAGAATGTCTCTACACCGAAGGCTAACACACATGGCTAGTGGTCCTGTAAGAGATAAAGTTGCAGTAAGAATTTACCCAAATCAGGTTAGATTGTTTTAATTTACCAAACCACCATACACAAGTAATGTTACTGTACATTCAACTATAAGTAACCTTATCTGTTGCCCCTATAAGTAAATTGTTTCTTGTATTGTTTCAGTTACCAGAACATGTGCTTATTTGTTCCAACTGTTGGACACGTGCACAGGAAAATATAGGAATAGAGCAAGAAGTTGTGCAACAAATTGATATGCAGCCACCAAGTGCATTAATAACACTTAATGGTTTTACACACACAACACAGACAAGTGCTCATTGTTTTGTGCCGGCTTGTAACAATGTAGAACGAAGAGTGCCGGAATACTCAAGAAAAAGTATATATATTTTATTATTATTATTATATATAATCAATCACACAATAAATGATTTAATTAATAGGAATTTATTAATACCCGAGGGCTTGTTTGGAAACAGAGAGGCAAAAGTACCAATAATAATATGTGATGGTACCTATATATATCTTCAAAAATCATCCAACTACTTGTTTCAGAAACAAACTTATAGCTTGCACAAATATAGAAACCTTGTTAAACCTTTTCTCATTGTTGCCACTGCTGGTTACATTATTGATATTTTGGGGCCCTATCCAACAACCTAATCAGATTATGACACCATGAAAGCTTTGTTCCAAAATGAAAATGAGGGTCTAAGGGTTTTTTTTTTCAGCCCAATGATGTTTTCATTTTGTATCGAGGCTTTCGTGATTCCATTCCAATGCTAGAGGGGTTGGGCTTTAAAGTATTTAAACATGAATCCTTAGAACAAGGAGAGACTCAGTTATCGACCATCAATACAAACAAGACAAGGTGTGTGTGACACTATGCAGATGGGTGGTAGAGGTAGTTAATGGTCGATTTAAAAGAGACTAAGCATCTGAGACATGAATATTTTGATTTGGCTGCCACCCATTTGATGGACAATGTTATAATTAATGCTTTCCATCCAGTGATTGAAAATAGACCAAATGCTGTAGCTATACTTGCACAATACAGAGTGAAAATATGCCCAACCGGTTAGCAGAATTTATAATTGCTAACCGGATCAACCGCTTTAGAGCCAAATTCATAAGAATTGATGATCAACTTCCAGAGTTAAGTATTTTCCCTAAAATGACTATGTCTGAATTGATACTTTTTGGGCTGGGTACCTATCAAATAAAACAGGCTAGAAGCTATTTCGGGGAACATATTAGGCAACATGGATCATTTCAGGTAGAAGTATCGGACCAATTGGAAGTAGTAGCAGAAGCAACCCCATCCCAACTTGATCCTTTTTTAATAAAAGCCTGTATAAAAACTCGACATAGCTCAGGACGAACATATTATACCTACATATTGCTGGCAAGGGAAGGATCAAGAGGGGATGATAAAATAATTAGCTATTATTGTAATTGTATCTCCGGACATCGGACAATGGGTTGCTGTGCTCACGTCATGACCACTGTGTGGTGTTTGGGCTCGGTACCAAGAGAGCATAGAAGCACCGGTGTCATTCCTGGATGGAATATTAATAAGGGATGATGTGGAAAACGAATAAAAACATAAGTTCCAACAAGTTCTTTTATTTATATACCTCTCATGACTGATTTCTCACGTTTTTGATGTCGCTAATACTAGGAATTATATAACATAGAACTTGTTTGAAAAATTGATAGTTAAGTTAGGACACTGGGCTGGCGTGGTGGATTACACAGTCCAATCCCTCACAGAAAGGAAGTATATGTCTCAGCAGTGGGAACATTATAGGCTGATTATGCTGCTCCTTCCTAATTGATGTTACTGTGTAATAGGAATAGTTAACTACTTTAACAATAACTTGCAGTTGTCAAATACTGCACAGCTCACTGCTTGCCTATGAATTATCGAAGTCCAGAATATATTGATAGGCACTAAAGAATAAAGCAGCAGGAAAGTGTTAATAAACAAAATAACTTTCAAGCCTTCGTTTCATTTCGATAGAACCAATCTCTAACTACTCTAATAGGTGATATAAGATGTGCTGCCGCAATCGAGTTGAATATCCTGTAGTCTAAGTTTATCGTATCCATCCAAGATTTTCGAAATTCGTGTTGTTATTTTTATTGTTGATATTACAATACACGTCAATCAAATGTTAAATGTCAAAATGACATTTCGTGTTTTCTATACTAAGTCTATGGTTTTCTCTGTGTGATCCACCATGTTTAATTTAATGTTGTGTTGCTCTCCTTGACTAAGTTAATTTGAATGTACATTGAAACGAAGTGAAATTAAAGAAAACTAACAATAAAAAACGGTTACTATATTATATAGCGGTATTTACATATAGTGTACATAGTGCTAGCCCAGGCTCCATACATTTCTGGAACATCTCCTTTTCATTTATGGGCAACTTTATCAGTGTAGCCTTCACTTTATCAGTTAATGATGCTGGCAAGCTTATACTGGCGGTATGCAAGGAAAAGGGTCTTCTTGTGACAAACACTATGTTTAATCACAAGAAAATCCATATGTATACTAGAGAAAGAAAGAATGAGAGAAGTATGATCGATTTGTTCCTGGTGGATGACCGACTGCGAAAACAGGTTATGGATACGCGAGTGTTCAGGGGTGCTGACCTGGGAACGGATCACTATCTAGTGATTACTAGATTTAGGGGTCTGTTCGCGGGTTGGCGCTACCGGACGACAGTGACAGAACCACAGTCGGTCTGTCGCATCCGAAGCTGGAAGCTTCAGGAAGCGGATACTAGGGACAAATATCATGCGAGGGTAGCCGAAAAGCTTGACACCATCGATGGCAGAAACGAATGTGTAGAAAGAACATGGCAGAACCTTAGGGATGGAATGGTAAGTGCAGCGGAAGAAGTGTGTGGAACAATAAAAAGAGGCAGTAGTAAAAGAAGAGATGCATGGTGGAATGATGAAGTGAAAGAAGCAGTAAAGAAGAAGAAGAAAGCATGGTTAGACTACTTGGCCTCTAGTAATGATAAGGACCCGAAGTGGTGCGACGGCCTTAAGAATGAACAAAGTGCTTTCGAGAACTAATGACGTCCTCTCAGAAAAATCGGACGTCATGCAGCGATGGAGCGAATTTTATAGAGAAATGTATGCGTGTGATGATCTTAGTGAGGGATCCGGGGATGACGCCGTGACTGGCACGCCAGACCCGGACCTCGATGACACTGAGGTCATCAGTATGAAAGAGATTGAACGTGCGATTCGAAGTTTGAAATGTGGTAAGGCTGCGGGACTAGACAGAGTTACTGCTGAAATGGTCAAGTATGGTGGGCCTCGCGTCTGGGACAGCTTTCATCTGCTGTGCAATTTGTGCTGGCAGACGGGGGTTGTCCCGGATGATTGGCGATCCGCAGTCATTGTGCCTTTATATAAAGGTAAAGGTTCACATTTTGACTGCGGGTGCTATCGGGCGATCAGCTTGACCAGTTTAGCAAGTAAAGTTTACTCGAAGGTTTTGACACGTAGGATGCAAGAGAAATCGGAAAGATTTCTATGGGAGGCACAATGCGGATTTAGACCTGGAAGAGGATGCACGGATCAAATGTTTTCTCTCCGTATGATCACGGAAAAGCTTCTGGCTGTTAACCAGAAGATTTTCTGTGCTTTTGTGGATCTTGAGAAAGCATTTGATAAGGTTGTAAGGAAGAAAATGTGGGAACTGTTGCCGGGGTATGGTGTGGATGGCCGATTGCTAAGGGCTGTGCAGTCTCTTTACTGTGACTGTAAAGCCTGTGTGCGGGTAGGGCATGACCTGTCACCCATGTTTAGCGTCCAAACGGGCGTAAAACAGGGTTGTGTCATGTCTTCCTGGCTGTTCATACTGTATCTCGACAGCTGTTTACAAAAGCTGAAAGATAGCTGTTTGGGTGTGAAATTGGGTGACATAAAAGTAAATTGTCTGCTGTATGCTGATGATGCAGTGCTTATTGCACCATCAGAGGCAGAACTGCAGGCATTAGTCACGTGTATGAAAGAGGAATGTGAAATTAAAGGTCTCCGTTTGAATGCTAATAAAACTAAGGTTCTGGTATTTGAAAGGGACGAAGAGAGAACGAAGTGTGAAATATGGGTAAATCAGGAATGTCTAGAACAGGTAAATGAAATTGTATACTTGGGGAGTGCTTTTAGCCGGGATGGAAGATGTGATTTAGATGTGGACAGGCGTGTCGCTGCCGGGAACAAAGTCAATGGTGCCCTGACTGCGTTAGTCAAAAGGCAAGGCGTAGCGAAGAGTGCACGCCTTGCAATACATAACGCAGTGTTGGTACCGACTTTGTTATATGGCAGCGAAACCTGGGTATGCCAGAAGAAGCATAAAAGTAAGTTGAATGCAGTGGAGATGCGATCTCTTCGTAAAATGTGCGGCGTTACTATGGCCGACCGAAAGCGAAACGAAGAGATTCGCAATATGGCAGGTTTGAAAGATGACCTTATCACAAAAATTGATAAGGGCGTGCTTCGGTGGTTTGGGCACGTTGAGCGAATGAGTGAAGACCGAATGGTGAAGAAAATATATAGCGCGAAAGTTAACATTAAAAGGTGTCGAGGTAGACCGAGACTAACTTTCGAAGACCATGTGAGCAAATTGCTCGAAGAGGGTAGGGTCAAGAGTACTCGGATACCTAGACGTGCATGTATGAAGAAGATAATGAATCTGAAAGAAGCGAAAGAGATATGTAAGGATCGTGACACTTGGCGATCTGTTCTCTCTGGCTACCCCGTCAGGGATGTGCGTGAAGATAAGTAAGTAAGTAAGTAAGGAATTTGTTGACGCTCTTTTTGCCCTTAAATATGTGGAACTGCCCCCCCCCCCCCATTCTCCCTAAAACGCCACTGACTCTGCACTCACAAACCCGCCTGCTCAGTGTGTTTAGTATGGGCAAGCATGCATGCAATCGCATTCTTAGAATGTATATGTTTAACAGCTTGTCTGTAAGTAACTTTCGTAGGCGTCAGCTGAAAATTAATGTTTCTTGATCACTAGCTTTATGCGGAATTATGTATTGGCCGAAACGTACACCGGCTACAGCTAAATAAGTGGAAGCCATTTTATTTTTGTTTTATTTTGTATTCTATTATTTTCCTTCTATTTAACAATGAACATAGAAAAGCTGTTTATGTGTATACGCTATGTATCTGAGAATATTCTTACGTCTAAACAACGAGAAAATTTGGTACGTGTAGGGTGCTAAAAGTTCGAGGAATGGAAGGCTCGTATTTTTTCCACAATATTATAATCATCACATTGCAGAATTAATTTGTTCTACACCATGTTAAATTTCTCAGTTATCATTGAAAGTAGTCCAGTAGCTTCTGTACGTGAAAAAACATTTTATTTTCATTAATTTATTTTTATAATGCCAAAAACAAATAAAAAGGACAGGGCGAGCAATCTCATCGAGTAACCCGTTTCGAGTGGGTCTCTTCCTATATCAGCGATATTGTGAAACTGTATATTTCAAGTCAGTGGACCTAAAATGTTTTTAAAATAATAGGACAACATACGTGAAGTGGTTAAAAATACACACAAGAGCAGGGTTCTTTTCTATTTTTTGTCGGCAAACAGCAATGATTACACTGCTTTCTTCCGGTCTGAAGGATAAAGAGACCCCGTATTATTACTGACTGGGACGCGGAAATCCATCTTAGTCCTAAGGGTGACAACGCATCTGTAGCTTTATTTATTTCATGTTAGTTTCAAGTATTCATGGGCTGCAGTGACCACTTACCATCATGTGGACTGTAAATTCGTTGGTTACTTAAGTTTAATGAAAAGAGACACGGTTACAAGCTCTTATGTTTAACCTTGGTAAACCGTTACAAGATATTATTAATAAGAATTTTACAAATAATGTTGAACAAACCGACAAACTATTCGTTGATTTCGGTTTTCGGTAATTCAATTTCTATGACCATTCGCTAACTGTATTGTGTGTTGAAACACTGTAGTCATGCGTGGTTGGAGATAGGTACAGTTTTAGATGTTTATTTACGAGTATATACATTTGGTGATTCGTGCGCGGAAACGCTACGTTAATTGATGTTGTAAACAAAAAAATTAGGGACGCACGCTTCAAGCTTTCGTATATGCAAAATAAAACTGTCAAAATATAATCCTGAATGTTTGACACAATAATAATGTACGCAGGTTGTCACATTACCATGGAAGGTAAATTTTTTTTTATACAATACAGGTGACAAACGAGCATACAGTCCACCTGATGGTAAGTGGTTGCTGTGACCCATAGACATCTAAATCTATCTTCGTTTGCGAATTAAAATACAGATGCGTTGTCAGCCGTGACGACAAAGACAGAATCCCTACACTCTACACTCACTCTTACCCCCGGACCTCTGAGGTGTTCAGACGTGTACAAAAACTATTACCGTATAACAATTAATATTAAAAAAAAGTTATTTGCAAAAATTCGCGACATTAAAATAGGAGTACATGAAATTGAAGAGCTATCATTGACCGGCCGCTCCTAGTCCTCCGCTGCAGTGACACACTTTCGCAGCCCTAACAGCTACTCGACGCCGCAAATCACCGCCCATCGCCGCCTACGCATTGACTACGGGGGCGGTGCGACGCACGGTGAATCAGCTGTGCACGTATTGGTCGCCCTACGCTGCATCTGCGTGCGAGGTACGTAGCAGTGCTCCTAGTACATTATCTTCATAGCTACGCACTCATTTAAAGTGCTGATTCATATTAAATGCTCCTGGTATTTTGCTATACGCACATTCATTAGAGACACATTGTTACTTTAATAATATTTTATTAAAATGCCTTTGAAACGCACCCCACCACAAAACGCACATGCGTCGGAGACTGATTCAGAGAGCATAGGTGGAAGTGTGTCTGACTTACAAAAAGCAGAAAGCAACATCAATGTGAGCATTGGTCGCATAAAGAGAAAGCGGGAAAATGAATTACATAGTTTTATGGAAGAGGTGCGTAGTATGATCTCCAAGTTTGTCATCGATCAAACAAATAAATTACAAGCCTTGGAGTCATCAATAAGTGAAATAAAATCGCAAAATAGTTCATTACAGTTATCATTGGAAACAATATCCTATAAATATGATGAATTTCAAAAAGAAATAGAAAATTTAAAGAAAGAAAGGAAGGAGCACAGCTCTTACATAAAACAGCTCGAAAATAAAATTGAAAATTTAGAAAGATACACGTGTTCAACAAAGCTTGAGATTAGAAATGTACCAAAATTGCAAAATGAAAACAAACAGGAACTTACAAATGCAGTTAAAAACATTGGAAATATATTAAATTTGCAAATACAGACCGGGGATATTAAAGATATATATCGAGCCTCTGCAAAACCTAATGCCCTAAAACCAATAGTGGTCGACTTTAACTCCGTACTGATGAAGGAAAATATTATAAAAACCCTTAAAAAGCTTACCCTAAAAGAGAAGAACGAAAAACTAAATACAACAATATTTGGTTTAGATAGTTCTCATAAACAGATATATATCTCGGAGGCTCTTACCCCGAAAGGAAGGCGTCTATTTTTCTTGGCGAGGGACTTCGCAAAAACAAATGGATTTTCTTACTGTTGGACATCGTACGGTAAAATTTATTTACGGAAGAAAGAAGGACTGCCACCAATTCGTATCGAAGAAGAAGGAGACTTCACAAAAATAAAAGAGAAAACTGCCTTGTGACTAACTACTAGACTATGTTATTTAGTTTTGATTAATAATTTCAAGCGTTTCTCATACAATATAAATCATATCTGCATGCTATTTCATGATGCATTACTCCATATTCTATTTAGGCATAGTGTATTAAAGTTACGAATTATTAATCATAATCATGTAAAAACTTTACACACAACTCTTTATACTTCAGAAATACAATACTTTACTTATATATTACTATCTTTTCATGAACTATTTTATAGTGATATTTTATGTATCCTGTTTGTATCATCAACACATAATTTACACTTGTCAAATAAACACTATGATAACATATTTTTTTACATAACATACATAAACAATTATTACTATGGTTTCACTAGTAATATACAAGTCATCAAGCGCACTCTATTGATTGAAAGTAAAAAACTACAATGTCATTTGCCAAAAACTTACAACTTACGTAGGTGCTCAACTTACCTGAAGTACTGTTCTTACATATATACTAGATTAAATTACTTTATTTTATACGTGTATCAACAAACTCAAAGTACAATACTTATAAATATAAATATAAACAATACACTTTTCTTTGATATTGGTTTTGATAAATTAATTGTAATACAGAATTTTTATTTTAAATTATACTTGTTTTTAAACAGCATGGGACGGTACTCTTCATTAATTTATAGTAGTGTTTACATACATATGTCTCATTATATAAATGTATATTCTCGCTTACTAACTATAAAAGCAATTACATTTTATGAAATCCTAATACTCGTACTTATAAGAAGAAACATTAAAGTAACATTCTGTAATAATATATATAGCGGTTAGTATATTAAAAAATAATATTCTAAAAGAATTAGATCAAACTGGACTAATAAATTGTTATAGCTCTGATAATCCGTCGAAGTGCTTAGAGACATTGTCCGTTGCTTGTCCAGAGCAAAACAACCGGTCCATATGTATTATTTCCATCAACATTCGTAGTATAAATTGCAACATGGAGATGTTTACAGTATACCTTAGCCAATTTGATATAAACATAGACATGATTGTGTTAACAGAATGCTGGTCTCACGAGGATTATGAACCGCCAACACTGGCAGGATATAATGTATACTGTAGTAAGAGACATCTAAATAAAAATGATGGTGTAGTAGTATACACAAAGGATAACTTAGTAGTGTCTGCCATTGAACCCGATTTCCAGGACGGTAACTGTCTTGTAATTAAAATCCAAAGTAATATCACTGTGCTGTGTATCTATAGGCCACCTAGTTTTAGAAATGTTACAAACTTTTTAGAATCATTGGATATAGCATTAAATAATTATAAAAGCAGTACGGTTGTGTTAACGGGAGATATTAACTTGGATATTCTTAATGAAAGCGCAAATGTATACACAATGCAGTATCTTAACTTAATGGCGACTCATGGATTAGTACCTGGAATTAATAAGCCTACACGACAAACTACCTGCTTGGATCATTTTATGATCAAAACATATGGACAGGCACAAACTATAGTTTTCAATGAGTTTACCGATCACTCACCCATATTACTATATATTTCGTTGTCAACAGTACAAAAGAAAAACCTCGGATGCGAGAAAGTTGACATAAATCTAGAAAAAATTAAAAACGGTATCAAAGACATCTCCTGGGAAAATTACTATAGGTTAAGGGATTGTAATCATGCAGCAGAGTTTTTAGTAAACAATATACATAATATAATATCGAAAAACACTTTGATAAGGACAGTACCTAAGAAAAAGCAACCACTTAAACCATGGATAACCGTAGGGTTATTAAAATGTATGCGAAAAAGGGATAAAATGCACAGAAACCTTAAGCGATCTCCTCATGATGAGAGTATTTTAAGCGAATATAAGCAATATAGAAACATATGCAATAATATTATAAAAACTCAAAAAAGAAATTATTTAAGAAATTTGTTAGAAAAAAGACGTGGGGACATTAAAGGTACATGGGACATTATACAAAATTTAAACAACTTAAAAAAGGTTAGCAATACACCCGTTGAATTAATCTGTTCTCGTGATGTGTCACCTAAAGA